ACACCTAGCAGGGCACGGCGACGCCGAAGGGCATCAGTATCGCAAGCTCCAGCGAGCGCATCTCCGACACGATGGAGCCAGGTCGCCTCCATGGACACGCGTGGCCAGCGGGCGGCACGAACGGGAAGACGGCGCGCCCAGCGCTCCACAGGGTGAAATCCGCGCCCGATGTGCTTCGCCCTGTCCTCCTCGACCTGGTACACGTCGATCCACTCCTCCTCGGCCTGGCCCAGGAAGCGCTGCCAAGCAGATGTGAGGGAGGCGCTCAAACAACTCGCCACACCAGAGCACTCGCCTTTCGCAGTGTCCTGAGCAGAAGGGCACGCCTCACCCTCACCGAACGCGGCGACGAGCGCGGGCGACACCTGGTCCTGGCACTGGGGCGGGGTGCCAGCTGCAACAGCGCCGCCGCGGACGCCGGCGGAGGCGCCGAGGCCGCCGGGCCCGCCGCCGAGGTCGCCGGCTGGAGGTTCCCACAGCGTCGGTGACCTTCTGGGGCCCCCCAGCGGCCTCCTGAGGTCACCGCCCCAGAAACCAGAGGTACATAAGAATAATTAAATACCTCTGGATTTGGCCTGCCGCGCAGGCCGCCGGGGCCGCCGGCGGGCCGCCCGAGGCAGCCGCCGGGGCCGCAGAGGAGACCGCCTGGGCCGCCAGGCGCGCCTCCTGGGGCATTGCCGAGGCCCAATCCTCATGCAACTCGGACGTCGACTTCGAGGGCGTGGGGCTCGAGGAGCTACCCACGGCCGTGCCTGACCTGGTCGAGCCGTCCAAGCCCAGGAGCTGCTGCACCTCACCCGCGGCCACCTCCCATGCTGCCGCGTGGTCCTTGGCCCAGCACCAGTGAGGCCTCTCGACTGGGAACAGCTTCGGCAAGTCCAGGATGCGAATCCAGGGCCGGGCTGTATCCGCCTCGATGGTCAGCACAACTGGCCGATGCGGATGCACGGGCGAACCACACACCACCTCGACGCCCGTCACGCGCAGGGAGTGCGCCACCAGAAACATGTCGATGGAGCGTGTCGACGCACACCGCGCCGAACCACTTGAGGATGCCGAACTCCGCCAGCTCGGCCTTGGTCACATTGAAGTCGCCGCCCACGACGTATGGCAGGCCGAACTCGCGCAGCCTGGACGCGAGGTCGCGCAGGGCCTCGTAGTTCCCCTTGTTCACCCCGACCCCCGACTCCAAGTAAACGTTGACGAGCACAATGCCACCCCATACGATGCCGGAGTGGTGCATCATCAGGATCCGCCCCTCGAGCAGCACGGCGGACCGCCTGCCCAGCATGGGCGCGAGACCGTGCTCGGCGCGTACCATGGAGACGAGGCCCCCGGTTGCCAAGCCGCCTGCCTGCGACGGCACCGCGGCAGCCGCCTGGGCCTTCCAGCCGCGCTTGCCCATGTCGCTCTCGGCGTCGGGCGACCTGGCCGCGCATAACCGCGTCTCCTGCAACAACACCACGTCGCAGCAGATCACCTCGTCGATCATGCACTTGTCGACGTTGCTGAACGTGTTCATGTTCAGCGTGCAGATCTTTCAAGCCCTGGCAGGGCTAAACCCGCCGCCGCTTGGCCTCCACCGCGTCGGAGTGCTTGGACAGCAGCGAGCGCTGGAAATCCTCCACGAACTTCCTCTTCTCGGGGTCCTGGACGCAGAAGTCGTCGTTGAACGACTTCCAGAACTCGGACTCGTACTGCGGCAGAGAGTCGACCTCCATGCCGTCAGCGCCTTGCGCGCCGCCAGCAGCAGCGGCCTCAGCACCGGCGCCGCGATCGCCCGCGGGAACGCCCGCTCCAGGTGCCACCGCCGGTGGAGGAGCGGCCGCGGGCGGCTTCGCAGCCGCCGCGTCTGCGGCGATCTTGTCCAGGAGCTGCTGTAGCGGCGCCGCAGCCGTCCCGAGGTCCGCCCCGTGCAGCTCCGAAGCAACAGAGTTCGCGAGCGTGACGTACTGCGCCAGGCCGCCGATCGGCGAGGGCGGCGGAGGCTGCGGCTCCTCGACCTCCTCGGCCTCCTCGGCAGCAAGCGCCGCCTTGGCCTTGGCGACAGCCTCGTCCAACTCCAGGCGGAGCTCGCGCACGCGCTGCTGCTGCTCGTCAACCGCCAGCAGCGCCTGCTCGGCGGCCGCGCGGCGCTTGAACAGCAGGTCCGTAGCCTTGTCCAGCTGCACGGCCTTCTCGTCGGCGTGCACTTGGGCCGCTTTGACCACCTTGACCGTCGACAGCTGGCCAAGGGTGCTCTTCGCCAGGAAGCGTTGCTGGCGGAGCGCCTGCCGCTCGGACGGGACCAACAACGCGGCGACGCTGTCGAACATGCCGTCCTCCATGGCCAGGTAGTGCAACCGCTGCTCGTCGCCCAGCTTGGGCTTGGGCTGCGTCTGCCCGGCGGTGCCACCTCCACAGCACGGCCACGGGGAGGCTTGTCCTTGCCTGCCACGCCCGCGGCTCCTGGCCCCTTGGCCCAAACTGCGCCAGGAGGAAGCACAGCACGGCCAGCAAGCTGCCACGGCCGCTTCGGCTGGCGTCCCGCGGGATTGCAGCCCACGCAGCTCGCCTGGCGGCAGCGAGCCCTGTTCCGAAGTTGTAGTACTCGCACGTGCCACAGTGCCACCCGTCTCCACCAGCGCCGCTGCCGCCTTGCCCCACATTGCCACGGCCCATCGCGGAATGAAAGGGGGAGCGCGCCGATTGAAGACTGTGTTCGGACTAGTGCAATCCTTTCTGCCTGGAGGCTGAACAGCCCCCCAGGAAAACATCTTGAGCCAAAATGGCTACGGAGGAGGAGGAGGAGGAAGAAGACGAATAATAATAAGCAGACGAATAATAACAATCATAATAAGAATAATAATAATCATAATAAGAATAATACGAGTAATAGTAACACTACTAATAAACTAATACGAAGCATCGTAAGACTACTAATAAGACGGATACTACTACAATACTAATAATAGTATTACTAAGAATAAGAAGGATAATACTAATAGTAATAGTGCTAACAGTAAGAGTAATAATATTATTAAGACTATTACGACGAATAATAATACGTATAATACGAACAATGCTAATACTACTCAAACTAATAATAATAGTACTAATAAGATTAATAATAAGACTAATAATGCTAATAATAATACTGCTAATACTCATACTAATACTACTCATACTAATACTAATAATAAGAATACTAAGAATAATACTAATAAGAAGAACACGAATATTCATAATACTACTAATAATACGTATCATAATACTAGTAGTAATACTAATACTAAGAATAATACGAATACTAATAATAAGAAGAAGAGTATTACCAACACTAATAATAATACTAATACTAATAATACTACTACTAATAATACTAACAATAATAATAATAGTAATAATAATATTAATAATATTAATAATAATAAGAATAATAATATTATTAATAATACTAATAATACTATTAATAATAATAATAATCATACTAATAATAATACTAATACTAATAATAATAATAACAATAATAATAATAATAATAATAATATTAATAATAATAATAATACTAATAATAATACTAATAATTATAATAATAATAATCAAAATAACAACAATAATAATAATAATAATAATAACAATAATAATAATAATAATAATAATAATAATAATAATAATAATAATAATAATAATAATAATAATAATAATAATAATAATAATAATAATAATAATAATAATAAATAATAATAATAATAATAATAATAATAATAAACAATAATAATAATCATACTAACAAAAATAACAATAATATGATGATGAGGAGGAGGAGGTGGAGGTGGAGGAGGGGAGGAGGAGGAGGAGGAAGCGGAGGAGGAGGAGGAGGAGGAGGAGGAGGAGGAGGAGGAGGAGGAGGAAGCGGAGAATGAGGAGGAGGAGGAGGAGGAGGAGGAGAAGGAGGAGGTCTTGGGAGCCTCGAAGCCAAACATTTGACCAACACCTTCGTACAATCATTGATTTTGGCTTGCTCGCCGAGGCCATGTTGGACGCTGTAACCCCCGCGCCCCCCCCCCCCGTCCAGGTCCAGGGGTAGGAGGCAAACTCCTCCCGGAAGGGGAAGAAGGGATTTGGAAAAACAAATCTGCTAAAGTACTCACGCCCTAAAGGGCTAGTGGGAAGTCAAGCCTCAGGATCATAAGTGGTGAGGGTCTCAGGCGAAACGCCCGGCCCGCCCTACAAACACACACACGTTTGGGGGTGCGACAGGGAGGAGTCATTTAGAAGGAAAAGGGATGGAGGAGGCTGGGGCATGGCCGCTGCCGCTGCCCTCGTCCGTTCTTCCGCCCGTCGCCTCTCCGCGTTGCCTCCCTGGCCCGGGCCCGCAGCCGCGCCTGCAGCCGCCCCCGCGGTGGGCGCCCTGGGCTCCGGCGGCCGCTATGGCGGGCCCTGGCGAGGAGGGCGATTCCGGGGACCTGCAGCGCGCCATCCTTCGGGGCGCACGTAACCAACCCAGACATCATCGCGTCGAGAAGAAATCACGTCGGAAGGTTTTGGACCGCAGGTCCGTCAGCCTTGGTTCGGGACGAACAAGCCAGTCCTGGGGAACAGGTCCAGACGTCCAGGGGCCAGGTTGTGGAAACAGTCACGACGTCCAGGGTTTGGGAACGGGGGTCAGCGCTGCTTGGAGTCAGGCAGTCTTGTCTGAATCACTCTGGCTGGGGCCTTGGAGCCACGTGGAGCCAGCCCGTCCTCCCCTCCATCCGTTGACCAGGGTGTGGGAGTGTGCGGCCAGCCCGGGTTCGCGGCACGATCCTGGCTGACCCAGGTCAGCGCTAACCCAGTTCGTGCCCCGAAGTCTCGGGTGTTGCTAGATGTGGCCCTGGCTCAGGCCGCGTAAGCCCACGAGGGAGCGCTCAGGAGCGCTCGGGAGCGCTCTGGGGCGGCTTCGGCGCCTGATGCATCCTCCAGACCTGCTGGCTCTCAGAGGCCAGGAACTCTCTGGCAACACTCGACATCCTGCTGAGCCTGGGGGGCGGCGCTTCAGGCTCGGCTGGAGGTCCACTTGTCATTGCCAAAATATTTTCATATCTGCTGTCTCGGAGTCGTGCGCAGAGATCTCGAGGACCTCTCGAGGAGCGGTGGAGCTAGATATCCGCCCGCTACTCAGGGCGGGAACGTATCCTTATTCACCGTTCCCCAGGGATTCGGGGCAGGACTTCAGCGGCAGTGGATGTGGACCTTTCCTGGCGGTGCAACCTGAGCGGGAGATGGCATACACCACCAACGGGCAACCACAGGCCGCTGGGCCAGATCTTAGTTTTAATTTCGCAGCCTCTCAGCCAGGCCAGCAGCCGATGTATTCCAGGGTCTGGCTTCCGAATTGGCGTAGAGGCCTGGTGGAGGTGGTGTTGGTGGCCGTTTCCTTTTTCTTCGGAGCAGAACGGGGTCGGCCGCGCGAACATCCGCGCTCAGGCTGCACACGTTAGGTCGCGCGTAAGCTTCCTCGCTGGCGGATTGGCGCCATGTGCGCTGCCACAAGCTTGGGCTCGGCTTGGTTGCCGAGCGCCCCATAGCTTTCTGGTCCCGGTGTCCCGCTCTGGGAATCGCGAAAGTGGGCATTTGGTCCCGTGCTGAATCACTTGTGGTGGTCTGTTGTGTCTTGGAGTGAGCTGTCTAGGGTCTCTATGTATGGTGATGTGTTTGTATGGGATTGGGTTATACTGATGACGTGATTTTTCGGAGGCAGGCGTGGGCCAGTAGTGGGTCTCTGCCACAGGCGGGGGTGGCCTCCCCGCGGAGGGCGGCGACCTGTTCGCCAGGCTTGCCGGCAGCCCTGCAGTGCAAAAGCTTCTGCGAACCGTATTGGACAATATCGTCGATAACCCAGGGGAGAAGAAGTTTCGCTGCATCAAGGACGCCGCCGTGCGGAAGCGCTGCGGTGATGGAGACGGCAGCTATCTTCAGGCCACTGCGGTCATGGTCTCCCTTGGTTTTGTCGTGGTGGACAGAGGGGATGCGCCCTGGTGGATGTTGTCCGCGGAACCTGACGGGGGGCAGCTGGAGCGTCTGCGAGACGCGCAGCGGCGGCTCGGTGCCGCGTCCGAGTCCGCTGCCGCGGCACAGGAGGTGTCCTCGCCTGCGCTACCAGCGCACGGCCTCACAGTATCACTGGGCGACCTGGCGCGGCCAGCAGTTATGACCGTGGACACGCCGCACGGCTCGATCTGCGTGGTGGGGTATCCAGAGACTTGCGTGCAGCTGGTCAGCGCAGCGGATTTCCCGTGCTGGGCCGCAGGAGGTGCCCCTGGGAGTCTCTGCGACCACTTGCGAACCCTGGCCCAGCAGATCCAATCGACGCTGGGGTATCGGACACCTCCACTGGAGTTCACTTGGATACAGGCATCTTTCGTATTCAGACCCCCTGCTGCCGTCTCAGGAGTCAGATCTGCTGGCATGGGGCTCACATGTGTTGTGTTTGCCTAAGGGGGAGGGGGAAGCATGCGGCTCTCGTGTATGTGCCTTGCGTCGAGACCACAAGGGCCCATGTAATCAACATATGCCCCCCCTCTTCACAGGAACTTGCAGCGCTTCGGCGCCGGGGCCAGGGTAGAAGTGGTGTCCCCCGCAGAGTATTTCTCCTCCTCCTTCTGATTTCCGATTCCTGATGGCTGAAAGGAGCGTCGTTCGTGGCCCTCCCGCACCTGGGCCAGGCGGCCCTGAGGGGTTGATCAAACTAGTGGCCTGGCGAGTTTGCGTACTCGCCAAAGAGGAGGGAGGGGGAGGTGGGTCTGGCCGTGTGTGGCGGTGGTGTGGCGCGAGCGTACGCCATCCATACTTTTGAGCCCACCCCTCCCGCTATGTGTGCAGCAGTAGCCCTGATGAAGATCTGTGCTCTCCTGTAGGAGCTGTTATGCCTAATGGCGAGCCCAGCACTGGTGGTGAGCATGGGTGGCCCTGGTGTCCAGCGGCGACTGTCCATGGGGAGGGAAGCGGTAGGGGGAGATATCGTATCATACCGAAAGAGGGTGATACGAGGCGTGGCAGTGGCAGGTGGCATTTGCCTGTAGCGGCCTTTTGTCTAGTAGTGCCCACCCACGCAGCCAGATCCGAGGATGGAGGAGAGGAGATGGAGGAGAGAGACTTTGGCGCCCCCCGAAAGGCAGTGGCAGGCACCGCGGCCGCCCGACTGGCCTGCAGGGCGATCACCGCGCCCTGCTCAGCGTTTGCAACCTTTGCGAGGGCTTCGGCGTCGCCGCCCACTGGATCGACTGGCAGGGCAGCGAGAAAACTGCTCCGAACCTCGTCAGCCAGCCCCAGAGGTCGGGGGGAGGGCGGGGGACCCCCCTCCTGCGCCCTCCTGCGCCCACCTGTCCAGGCCTCACTGCCTTCACCCTCCCTTCCTCCTCTATCTCATCATCCCCCACTGGATCGACTGGCTGGCACCACACACGCTACACCCACAGCACCACACCACACCCACAGGTATGGGGGGGGAGGGGGCATTGCATTGCGCGGGGGGGGGGGGGGGGGGCCATGGCATCAGCATGAGGGGTGGGGGGGGGGGCCCAGACCCTGGACCATACATGCTCTCCACCCGCCCAGGCGGTGCTGGATGTCAGAGTCGTGGACGTATGCTCCGCGGAAGTCCCACGCGAGAGCCCTTCAGGGAGGCCCTGGGATAGCCTCTTTGTGGGAAGGAGATGCCCTCCATCTGTTTCAGCGTTGTAGTGTAGGATGTCAAAGTCGTGGACTTCTGCTTAGCGGAAGTCTCACGGGAGAACCACGTTTCGAAAGAGGAGCCGCCCTCCATCAGGGTTAGCTGTTGCGCAATATAGAACGCTGGGTCGTAGAGGTCGGGGAAGTTCAAGTGAGTGTCGATGGTGGAGTTTCTATTCGAATGTGCGCGAGGCCACAGGGAGACCCCACTACGGTGGGGGCGTCCGTTGATGAATGTGCCTAGGAGGCTGCAGACCCTGGAGGATTCCTCATTTAATGAGGACTGCGGTGATATCCATGGCTGGTCCACGATCGGAGTTCCACCAGCTTCCAGACCCTGGATTCCTCATCTAAGGGTTCCCTGTCCACTGCCCCCACCGTCTTGGAAAGGACTCGCTTCCGCACGCGCAGTTTGGGGCAATTTGGAAAACAGAGTATGCACGGCGCCAGGACGAGAGCTCCTTTTTGAAGACGACCCGCTTTTTTGTATTCGATGGTTGTATAAAACGATGGTGTGCGACGCCGGCAAAGCGAGAGCCTCACTGTGGAAACCGTTTGTGGTCCACGCGTCAACGCGACTTGATTTCATCTGTTCCTTGAGGCCTCCTGCGGCGACGAGGACGACGAAAATGAGGATGTGGATGCTGTTGCTGCTGGTGGCGACGGCGAGCCTGGGAACACTTGGGCAGGGACTGTAGTGTCTGGGAGCGCGTGGGAGCGTGATGGATCGTTTGGAAGCACCTGGGGCAGCCAGGGGAGCAGTTGTGTCCAACATCGCAGTCGGCGAGTGGTACCCGAAGCGTATTAATTTGTAATGTATTGGCTACATATTCATTGATTTTTGTCTGCCTCTAGTGCCCAGGGGCTCCGTGGGGCCAGGGGGTGGGTCAATGTTGGCGATCCGCATCTGCGCACCCAGTGTTGTTTGTTAGAGATGATGGTGCGGGTCGGGGTTGATGTACGTGCGCCGAGTTGTATGCTTTTTTCCTTGGGATGGGGGGGTTGGGTCCGATGGATGTGCACCGATTGATTTGTTGTATGGATTTGTGGGGGTTGGGTCGTATGAGTGCTCGCCGGATACGGTTGTTATTTTGTATAGGATGGTAGGGGGGCTGGGTCGTATGGATGTGAGCCCAATTGTTTTTGCATAGCATGTGAGGGTTGGGTCGCATGGATGGTTGCCGCGCTAGAGCGAAAACCACATTTTTAAGAGCAGCCCGGTTCCATCCTTGAAGCTGCTGCGAGTGTGTGCCGCGCTAAGGCGATGCTTATTCTTTGAAAAGCAGCTAGCCTCCGTCCTTGAAGCTATCGCAAATACCGGGGACGAATGTCCGCAGCGCTAAGGCACGAAACACGTTTTGAAAGGGACCCCGCATCGATTTTCGAGGTTGTCGCAGTTTAAAACGTATGTATGCAACGCCCAGACGACAGTTGCATTTGCAAACGACTGGGGCTCCATCTTTGCGATTTGCGTTAACTTTCAAGCTTAGGAGCCATAGTTGTCAAGGAAGTCTGACCTGGCCTACGTACGCGTCCGACAAAGAGGAGTTTTCCGTTTTCCACAAGGATGTTGACCAGCGTGGACCCCAACACTGTGTGTTTCTAACAATCGATGTTGTGCAATTTATATGGTGCATTCAGAGTTATGCAATGTATCTTGTGCACCGAATGTGGTGCAATCTTGATGGTGCAATACATGTAGTGCAATGTATGATGTGCAAGCTCTGTGGTGCAATCTATATGGTGTATTGTTTGTTTTGCAATGTATGTGGTGCAGCCCATGTGGTGCAATGTATTCGGTCAACATTACTTGTGCAAATAGTGTGGCGTAGCCCAAAGGTTGCAAACTTTGTGGTGCAATCTGTTTTGGGCGGTAATATCTTCTTATTGCAAGTCATACGTCGAGTGCGCGCGGGGGGGCGCCCCGCCGTCGTCGCAAGGCGCGACGGCGGGCGGCTGCATGACCACCCGCCGCGCGCCGCTCCACCGTCTGGCGTGCAAGCCCCCGCGCGGGCTTGCCAGCGTGCCGCGCGGCCGTGCGTCGGTGTTCTCTCTTGCTCACTTCCTTTTCCGAGCACAGTCGAAATGGCTTCATTCTGCCGCGTGGCTGCGGGGCGGGATGTCAGGTGCCCGGTCATGCCTGCGGTGCCCTAGCAGCCCATAGTGGCCATCCAGGGGTAGGGCGTCCGCCCGGGGTGTTGTCCTTTGCTTGTCATAGCGCAGCTTTGGTTGACCTTCGGGGCGACGCGCGGCGCGTCCGCTCGCAGTAGTGTGTCGGGAGCGTCCGTCGGGTGCCGCGTGCAGCATTGCGGCGCGCTGGCGCAGACAATGCCGACGTTTATGGCACCCACTCGTTCAAAAGGGGCCATGCCCAAGACATCGTCGCGTTCGGCGGTCGCGTGACCGATATATTCACAGCTGGTGACTGGCAGATGCCAGCATGTGTGCTGTATCTTGGCATGTAGAAGTTGGTGCGCCAAGCAATCGCCGAAGCGCATGTCGCCGCGTTGTCCAGCGACGACGAGCCCGCGGGAGGGGTTTCTGTGGCGTCCAGCGACACCGAGCGCATGGTCTGCGCGGTGTCGGTATCGCCCGGCCCCCTCGCGTTCGCTCGCTTGCACGCTGCTTCGCCCGCTCGCTCGCGCGCTGCGGTTCTGCGTCCGTCTCATGGCCTGGCATTGCGTCCTGCGTGCCCGCTTGGTGCCGCGGGCCCGCGGGGGCAGCGCGTCGGCCTCAGTGCTTGGGGCCGCGGCGTTGGGTGTAGCACCCGCGTGCTTCGGCCGGCGCCCTGACGTGCCGCCCGCCAGCGTCGGTCGACGCGGCGTGTCGAAGTGCCGCCCGCCAGCTTGGCGATTCGACAAAGGGGCGCCCGGCCGCGGCCTCGTCCGACGTCGATTGGGTGCCGTTCTTCCTTTGTGGGTGGCATCGCTGTCGAGCGTTGGCCGCGGTGGAGACTTGGGGCGGTGGGGATTGGTTATTGTAAGTCATAAGTCGACTGGCGCGGGGGGGGCGCCCCGCAGGTGTCGCAGAGAGTGACGGCGGGCGGCTGCGTGGCCGCCCGCCGCGCGCCGCTCCACCGTCGGGCGGGTCAGGCCCCCGCGCGGGTTTGCCAGCGTGCCGCGCGGCCATGCGTCGGTGTCCTTTCTTGCTCACCGCCCTTTCCGAGCACAGTCGACATGTCTTCGTTTTGCCGCCTGGCCGCGGGGCGGGATATCAAGTGCCTGGTCGTGCCTGCGGTGCCCCACCTGCCCATGGTGGCCATCACGGGGTAGGGCGTCCGCCCGGGGTGTTGTCCTCTGCTTGCCATGGCGCAGCTTTGGTTGGCCCCTGGGGCGACGCCCGGCGCGTCCGCTCGCCATGGTGCGTCGGGCGCGTCCGCGGTCGCGGTTTTGTTTTCTCTCGCCCGCCACCTTCGAGGGGTGCGTGGTGCCCATGTGCTTCGGCTGGCAGTCGACGTGGCGGGTTGGGCGCGCCGCCCGCCAGCGTGGCGATTCGACAACGGGGCGTCCGGCCGCGGCCTCGTCCGACGTCGATTGGGTGCCGTTCTTCCCTCGTGGGTGGCATCGCTGTCAAGCGTCGCCGCGATGGAGACTTATGGTGCAATCTATATAGTGCAACCTATGTTGTGCAGCTTGTGTGGTGCACTAGAGGCTGTGCATTCTTTGTGGTGCAGCATTTGCTATGCCATCCATGTGGTACAGTCGATGCTTTTCAACGGATGTTGTGGACTTCGTGTGGTGCGGTCGAAGTAGCGCAATCTGTTTGGGGCAACATATGCTGTGCACTCAAGCGGTGCGATATAGGTGGTGCAACCTATGTGGTGCAATCCACACTGCTGAACTTGAAGTCGTCATCTCCACTGCTCGCGCAAACATCCCACCCACCCACCCGCAACTCGGTTTGCAAAACCTGTCAAGACCGACTACGACGACACCGACGACAACGACTAGGACGACACCGACGACGTTTCCGACGATTTCGACGACGACAACGACGCCGACGCCGACGACGACGAAGACGACGACGACGACGTCGCCAACGAAGGCGACGACGAGGGAGGAGGGAGGACGACGACGGCGACAACGACGACCACGATGACAACGACGACAACGACGAGGGAGGAGGGAGGACGGCGACGACGCGAACGACGACGGAGGAAGGACGGCGACGCCGACGACGACAACGACGAGGGAGGAGGGAAGACGACGACGACAGCGACGACGACGACGGCGACGAAATAGGAGGGACGACGACGAGACGCCGACGACGGACGACGACGACGACGACGAGGAGGAGGAGGAAGGACGACCACGGCGACAACGACGACGGAAACGACCACGACGCCAAAGAGGACGACGACGACGAACACGAGGAAAGACAGAGGACGACGTAGGCGACGACGACGACGACGACGCGGGAGGAGGGAGGACGGCGACGACGACGACGACGACGCAAGAGCGCGCGCGCACGCTTTTGTTGAAAATCCGTGTTGCGAAACCTTGGGTTTTTGTAGGTTTTTTGGACGCGCGATTTCGAAATCCTTCCGAAACCGATGGGTTTTGAAGGATTTCGGCGTACGCGCGCGACGACGCGCGCGTCTGCA